CTCAAATTATGAAGAAGTTGCATGTGCCTTGGTGTGTGTGTGTGTGTGTGTGTGTGTGTGTGTGTGTGTGTGTGTGTGTGTGTGTGTTTGTGCTTGCATATTTTGCCATTTCCTAACTTAAAAAGAAAAAAAATCCTCACGTTCCCCTTTAAAGAGCCAAATCTTTACATGTTTAATCCAAAAAGCTATGGAAATTTTGTCATTTTATAAACAAGAGTTGGTTATTGATCACATGCATTTAGGCTTCCTATTTTCACATTAAAATTTGTATAGAACATGTTAGAAATCAACTCCTCAGTTGTGATAAAAACAGAGACTGCACAGCCAAAAAATCTTCCTGAATAATATATAAAAGACTCTTTGAGCTATTAAAGGCTGAATCTGAATTTTGAGGGGTACGATTTGGAAATTTACAAGAAAAAAGGCTAAATTAACTAGATTTTTAGTGTGAAATTTACAGGAAATATACCAAAAAAAAAACCAAACCTCAAAATCTTTAAGGAAGAAAAGAACATCAAGAATTGTATAACAAATAAGAAATCCTGAAATGAATGAGGAAAAACTCTAAACTTTTTTAAAGATTGAAGTCATAACCTACAGCTAAAATTGTGAGATTTTTATTGTAAATTTTTTAGACTTTTTTTTTCTCCTGAAAATGCTGTTGTATATCAGATAAACTGATACATTTTTACTGAGCTGGAGTAACTATTAATGTTATTTTGAATAAAACTGTCCAGATATCCTGTGAAGAAAAAAAACTACCTTCTGTTTTCAAGATAAATAACAAACTTTGATTGTGCAGTTTCTGAAACCCAGCTTCTAAATTAGGATTCTTTCGAGAACTGATGTGTCGGCTTTGGACATTTGAGATTAGAAATACCACAAAATTTCCACACAACTCCTGCTTATCCCCGAGCTTCTATCACATTCTGTGGTCTTAAAGCTTTCCTTGCATTCCTGTTTGGTTGGTTTCTAGCTTATATTGCATAATAGAAAACACGCATCGTCTTCTCGTCTTTGGTATTTGGGCTAGCGTGTCAGCTTATTGTCCAAAAGAAGACATCAGCAGTGAACGTCAGTGAGGTTTGAATGCACTAAAGATTAATTTACCCTTCAGCTTCTTAATGGATGTATGATGAATTTGCAAAAGGCGGTTTGGCTAAAACAAGTCGTGGCAGTGAGCAGCCCCTCTCTCAGTTTGTCACTCTTGACAAAAGCAAAAAAAAACCCCAAAACAAAACCAGACAAACAAAAAGAGTAAAAAGTTTGGTTTTCCTCCACGCTTCAACTGGACGAAACCTCAACCCGCGCCCTCCATCCCTCCCCAAAACTCCCACCCCCTCCCTGACTCCCCATTCCCCTCCTCGCTCTCTATTATCACGCTTTGGTACAAGTGCTTGACGCTGAAGATTGGCCGCCAGGGCTGGCTCCGTCGTCTGTCCATTTGTCCAGGCTCCGGCGGCGGGCGTTCATGAAGAAGTTGCTAACGGTGGTGAGTTCGAGGCCCAGCTGCTGCGAGATAGTGAGCTGCATCTCTTTGGACGGCCGCTTGTTCTCCTTGAAGATGGCCAGCAGGGTGCGCCGCTGCAAGTCGGTAAAGACCAGCCGCGACTTCTTTGGCGTATTGTTGCGGTCCTTCGACGTGTCCTGCTCCTTTCTCTTGCACGCTGCAAAGCAAGTGTGAGAGGGTGGGGAAAAGAAAAAATAAGAGGGGAAAAATAGAAAAGTGTTATTGTTTGCATTTGAACAACAGTTAAATATTGGAGGGGGATCTTGCAGTGTCCCTCACACGAAACACAAACAGAAGGTCTTGTTTACAGACGCTCATGTTCCTGTGTTGATCTGATCTGTGTACCTTCTGTCTCGCCATGTTTTCCATTGTGCCACCGGGCTGAACTTTACTTACTTGGCTCATGCTGTGATGTTTCACTGATTAGAAAACACAGGAGTTGCATGATCGTTTGGTATCTAAGTGTGCTTTAACCTCTAGCCTACTTGGTTCATTTCCTGATGGATTTGGTTGTATAGACTGTGGTAAAATCTGGCAATCAAGCTTTATTTGTGTAAAGTGAACAACCAGAGTAAGACTGCACTGAACTTTGAATTCTCATCTGTTGAATTATGACAGATATACTCTTATGTGTGATTTTGTTTAAAACCATCAGGACTGTGTACTGTGTTTGCTTTACTTGCCACCTTGCTGTGAGTGTTTCTTCCAACCTCTGATTATGTTAAGATGGTGTACTTGTTTTTTCTGTGCACCTTTTTCCAAAAAGAAAAAAAACTTTAGTTTTGCATCTGCCTGCCTAAAGCACATCATGTAATGCTCAAAAAGTGACCTTTAATATTTGAAGTCACTCATTCTTATTCTCATGTCTGCTTTAAACTTTAAGGATCCTAACTTGGTGAAGTGGCCTGGCAATATCTTCTTACAGTCACAGTAACAGCTAGTAGGATTCTCTAAATAGTAAGGAAAGTTACTCCAGTGCTTTCTTTTTTACTTCCTTTAGCAGAAGATACACTGGAGCATCCTTAATGAGAGGAAAGCAGACATTTATTTTCCATAATTCAAAAGGAAGCACTATTTGATTGTCATTGCGTAAACTTGTTTCTGCCACTGAAAAAACAAACAGTTGAGTTATTACATTTGAGTAACTCTAATGTAATAACTCAAAAATTAACTCAAAATCAAGAAAATAACTTGAAATTTTGAGTTATTAAGTTGAACTTTTGAGATAATAACCCCAAATGGTGACTTCTGGTTGCCAAAAAATGTTATTTTCAGTGGAAGAAACAAGCTTCTATGTGATGTTTTTCCAGCAAGTTGAAGGTAGACGACCTGTGCTAAGTCTACCACACCTGTCCCCAATTAGCCAATCAGCCCTTCTAATACATACACAGCCCTCCAGTCTTTCTCCTCCTGCTCGCTCGACTTTCTTGCCACTTTTTGTTCTTGTTGCAGTTCAGCAGCTCTTTGTGATTTTCTGGTTTTGTTGTTTCTTTTATTCGTGTATGACCTTTAAAGCTGTTTGTTTTTAACCTGATGCCTGCTCCTTTCCTGTAAGTGTTTGTTTTCGCTGACTGCCTCTACGTGTACAACCTCAGCCTGAATCAAAGATTTGGATTATTGTGGGCTGGAGCTGTCTGCTTTATCTTGGTGTAGAGCTGCATTTTAGCCCGATACTTGCATTGACCCTCTCTGACTAGATCAGAGTGCCGAGGGATCACCATTTTCCATCATGAAGTAACTGTAGTTTTCCTGTCACTGATTAACACCTGAAATGTGTCTGCTGCTGTATAGCAGCCAGAGAGGGCAGAGGAGGAGGATGAGGAGGTCTGTGTGTTTGATTTGATTACCTCCCTGAATTAAGTATGCACGAGTCAGAGCTGATCAATACGAATCAGGTTAAGGACTCAATTCAGTAACAAAACTATTATGTAAGGGGAAACTATCCTCTCTGTAAACACACACACAGAGTGACATCCCTCTCCCAGCTTTGTATCTCAGCATTTAGCGACCTGACAACAGATTAAATTAATTAAGTACAGCACCTTTATTTGTTTCCCTGTCTCATTACAGGAACAGATGGATTTAAAAATGCACCGTTCCCCCAAATATTACCTTTTAAGCTCAGAACCGGCCTTTAAAGAGTGACTAGTCCTGTAAACGCAATCAGTCCTTGTACCATAACAACAACTTTGTTTTTTTTTACTTGGTCTGAGAGACATTTTTCTGTTGGTTCTGACCATTCATGACCCTGAAATATTGTACATGAGTAAAACAAACACCAATTAAAGAATCTGACTAAGAAAGGAATTGGTGATTTTTGCTGGCTAAAACCTTGTTGCGGAGCATTTATACAGGTTCTGGTATTTTTGGAAACACTTTTTTTGGACTTTTCTAGGAAAAACTGCCTTAACTTTGAAATATGTTCCCCCTTTGAGTTGAATTTCAGGAGGTGCCTTTCAAAAAGGCGTCTGGAGATAAGTGTGAATGTCTTTGTGTCTGTGCTGTTAATCATGTAGGGAGAGATTCCTCTTCCTTTGTTCTCGCTGTCAGGAGTCTTGTGGTTGTAGTTAAAGTTTATCACTGACAGGTGGCACTGTTGATCTCTGAAAATGAAGGCAGCTGTTACCAAAAAAACAAAAAACCGGCATTGAGAAAATATATTCATCCTCAGAGATAGAAAGAGGAGAGTCAGAGAGTCATCTCAGAATCATCATGACTGTAGAGAAGAGATATGTACAACAAATATCAATAATTATATTTTAAATCACAACTAATGACTTTATTCTGTACCTGCTCTGCATGTTGAGCCTTTTAACCTGTTTCATATATATTCCTAATTATTTAACTATTTTTTTTTAACAGTGCATTTATTTCCTATGTTTTCTTAGGACTCCTTTTATATTTTCAAATTAGATTTTAAAGATTGTTGGTTATTAATATGAAGGTAATTAGAGGGCTTAAAATCTGCCACAGGTTTGTTAATTCAAAGTTTAAACTAGAGGCAAATGTTGGACTTTGGACACGACTATTTACTGGATGATCTTTGTGATAAAACATTTAACTGTGAGCTAACAGACTGAGGGAGGTACACCACTCTTCATACTTCTTATTAACAGCTTTCATTGCTACCTGTTTCTAATACTGCTGCTGTAGTTTATCAGCTTTTTTTAATGTATATTTTTCTGCTACACCTGTTTTTTTTGTTTGTTTGTTTGTT